TTTTTTTTTTTTTTTTAGAAACTGTCCTTTATTAATGCACCTAGGGCCTGGCTGCACTACTCTTGAAATGTGCAAAACGAGAGTGAATCTTTGGCTAGAATATGGATAGATACACGGCCATGATTTTTGTCTTTTGTGCATTTCAAGAGTAGTGCAGCGAGGCCAAAAGACAAAAATCATGGCGGTGCATTTTTCCATATTCTAGCTGAAGATTCACTCTCGTTTTGCACATTTCGAGAGTAGTGCAGGGAGGCCCCTACTGTGTGCTATTGGGGACACAAGGGCCCTGCACTACTCTTGAAATGTGCAAAACGAGAGTGAATGTTCCGCTAGAATATGGACAGATACGCCGCCATGATTTTTGTCTTTTGTGCATTTCAAGAGTAGTGCAGCGAGGCCCTAAGTCCCCTGCCACTTCTGTGGGCGCCATCTGGCGCCGTTCTCTTTCTCTTTTTTTTTTTCTTTTTTTTTTTTTGCAGTAATAAAGTTACTGTGTTATGCCCTCAGGCACATCCTCCATGTGCAGAGACCTACGTGAGCAACCCATAACTGCTGAAACACAGACCTGAACTTGACTCCTGAGTATATATTCGGCCAGCTGGGGCTTTACATCATACTCACTGCCTGCCTCGATTTTGGTGGGCGGGTTCTTAGCCACATGGCTGCGAGGACCCTTCAGCGAGCCTGCATGGGCCATCTGAGCCGTGTTAGGGGTTTTCCCCCACCCCCGCCGAAAGAAAAAAAAGGAGCATTCACACACACACACACACATTCAGACACACACACACACACACATTCACACACACACACACACAAATTCACACTTTTTTTTTTTTCTTTCAGGGTTTCGTCTGGGGCATTGGCCCACAGCCCCCCCCCAAGCAGCGCTGCGGCTCCCCACACTGCCCACAGCCTCCCAAAGCAGCGCCGCCGCTCCCCACACTGCCCAAAGCCTCCCCCCAGCCCCGACAGCCCCCTGCGCGAACGCGTCAATTGCGTTCAGGGGCGTTCAGTGAACTCGCGTTCACTGCGTTCATAAACTGAAAGCGAAGCGCGTTTAATGAACGCGCGTTAACATAGGTAGAAAGCGCCCACGTCAAAACCTTTTCGGGTTTTGGGCACCGGCCCCGTGAATTCTATCTGGGGTACTACAGGCCCACACGTCTCTCCAAGGGCCCTACCAGATCATGAATCTTACCTATAACAGAGCCAGATTCATTTTGATGTAAAAAAGGCCGAGGGTGGTACCCCTGAAATATAGAATGAGGCCCGTACGGTATTTTGAAAAAGAAGGGCCCTACCAGTTCATGAATCTGGTGCAAAAACAGTGCCAAATTCTTGAACTGGTAAAAACAGGCCCAGGGAAAACAGGCCCAGCGAGATGTGGCCACGGAGAGAAGGCGCCTTTCACCCTGGCTGAAGACGTTTGGGCCCGTAGTACGAAACTGTCCAGTTTGGACCGCCCAAAACGGACAAGGTTTTGGGATGGGCTCTTTCTACCAATTATCCCGAGTTCCAAATTATCCCCGGGGCCCAAAACCGACAAGGTCTTGGCATGGGCTCTTTCTACCAATTATCCCCAGTTCGAAATTATCTCCAGTTCTAACCCGATGCATGGCATAGGACGACTAGTTGGCGTTTACCTCCAGAAAACTCCCAGCTCTTCACGGCTTCAACTCAGCCTTCATCCGCTGGAAGTACTAAGCATTGCCCTGCAGGGGATCACCTGCCTTTGTATTTTGTCCAAATCTTGATATCCACCTCTGCAGCGAGCAGGTATCCTCCTCCTTCTCCACCAGTCTAAGGGAAGGGCGTCTCGCATTGAGAACGGCCCCAAAAAAGTCGTTCCTCCAATTCCCCAATGTAGTTAACCTAGCCTCTAATATCTGCTAGATGCACCAACAGGTTCCATCGGAAGCCCACTGCCAAAGCAGCATCCTTCGGTTCAGCATATTCGTAAGTGTTCAATGGTTCCTTGTAGTCTTGCACAGAACAGTTCTCCTCTGTCCAATACAGCCCCGCCTCTCCTCCCCCGACCCTGGGACAAGTCCTTATCACGAAGTGCTCGAGCTCACATTGAAACTCAACGGCTATGTGACACGTCTCTAGCACGCTAAGCGCCCTGGGATATGGCGTTTGAACTCCGCATTCTACAGAAAGAAACCCTAATAGCGCATGCGTTACGGAAGCAGAGCGCTACGCCGCCAGCTTCCCGCTTCATCCCCCCTTCAAGGAGATTTCCGGCATCCCATATGATATGAGGAGTTCATCAAGTTGACGTTAAGAGAACCCCAACCTGCACAGATACGAACAAAAAGAGAAACAAACTCCGCTCTCAGATAACGCCCGGCAGCTACCAAATTCCGTCCAAATGCATTTTCTTAACTTGCTATAAAGAACCCACAGTTACACGTGTGTAGCAGTCGTGTACATTCATGGGCCCATTTCAACGTAGGACGTCAGCGCCAAACAGCAATAGACAGCAGCTCTCGGGCCGCAGTTATTCGCCGTCTATTATCAGCTTCGTCTTCTTCGACAAAACGTCCACGTCAGCCACTACCCCGCCCAGTGCCCACTCTTCTCCCCGTCCCTCCACCTCGCTGACTCGGCAACGAAAAACTCACACGGCCTCCAATGTTCCGCTATCCATCCATCAACCTCTCCGTTCTCTGAGTTGAACGGCCTTCATCGTGGGCTGGATACTTCTGCCCGCTTTGTTAGTTCCCATACCCCTTTCTTCTCCTTTCCGCCAGCAACAACGTGGCCATATACCGTGGCGTTGTTGCTTGGGAGGGACCGTCTCCCCTCGGCGGTCGACAGCCCAACATCATCATCATCATCTCATCATCATCTAATACTGCCACGAACATACGTTCGCTTCGTTGAGCAGGCTGGCAATCGTGGCCTCTAACATGCTCATCGTCGGCCTACACTCGTAGTCCTCTACAATGCATTCCGCCGCCAAGCGCAATGTCTCCATCATGGCCTGATTAAACTGGAGTCCCGCCGCCTGGTCTCGCAAGCACGGTTCCAGTATCTCGTACAGCACCACCCCTGGTTCAGCCCCATGCCTGCGTCCGAGACGAGGTCTCGCCCAGTCCACAAGAGTCTGCCAACCCGCGCCAGACGGTGACGGCGACACCGCCTTTCTCCCCGTCAGGCTCAGCAGCTCCAGCAGGATCACGCCGAAAGCGTACACGTCGATCTTCTCCGACACAATCCCGGACAGCATGTACTCGGGTGCCATGTACCCGAAAGTTCCCGCCATGTGCGAGGTCTTCACCACTGTCTGGCGTTCTGTCCCGAACACCCTCTCTCCGATGGCTGCTAGACCGAAGTCCGCTACAACGGCCCGCAGCTTCTTCCCGGTGCCATCGCCCAGAAGCACGTTGCTGCTCTTGATGTCCCTGTGGATGATCGGGGGGTCGACACCGTCGTGAAGGTAGGCCAACCCCTTGGCGATCTGCAAGGGGATGCACAATCGCTCCATCAGCGTCAGAGGCGGGAGAAGGGGTCTATCGGGGACAGCTTTCTCTCGTGTGTGAAGGCGAGCGTACAGACTGCCGCCTGGGAAGTAGGGGTACACCAAGATGGAACGATTTCCCTGGTCGCAGTACCCCACCAACCGGATGAGGTTGGCGTGATGGAGTCTGCTCAACGTGTTCACCTCCGCAAGGAACATACTGCGCTTGGCGGGAGTAAGGTTGCCCGACATCAGCTTGATTGCCAGCTGCTGATTTTCGCCGATCGATCCCCAGTAAACGTCCCCGAAGGCCCCGCTGTCCCCAATACGATAGCTTTGGCTGAAATCACTTCTGCAGTGAGAAAGCACTGCCAGCGAGAATCGCTTAACCTCCATTGGTCGAGGCTCCTCTCGCTCCTTTTGGTCGATAGCTTTCGCCGTTGACGGAGGAGAAGTGATCGTCTTCGTCATTTTGAATCCTTCGCTATTCGGAGCAGACTGCCACCGTTGCTGCTGGCGGGCCTTGGAGGCGAAGAAAGCCACGCAGGCGATAGCGCAAATGAGCGCAAGCGATGACACCGCCCACGCGACCATGATCCCAAGATTGCGAGAGTGCGAGGAAGAAGAAGAGCTCTCTTTGGACACTTGGGCCGCAGGACTGGCCGCATTAGACGGAGGATAGGCAGAAATGGACGGCGAGGACGGACCCGCAACGAGGGAGGGAGGGGGGAATGAATCTGAGGTAGGAGGAGAACTATCTGTGCGAATGCTGGACGGCGATGGCGTGGCGGACGCACAAGTAACAGAGGGCGAGGCCGCTGCCAGCCCTACGAGTTCGGACATCGGCCACCAGTAGGTAACCACTTTGTCCTCGACATGGGCTTTCATCCCTCGATTCACCTGCCCTAGATCTGCTTTCCTGAACGAGATGCGACTGAGAATCGTTTGAAGTGGCTCGCCGCGTTTACAGTATCCGTACAGAACGAAGTAAAATACAGTGGAGTTTGGAATAAATACGATGCCAGAAAGCTGCATAAAACACGACCTTCCTGTTGAGTTCCCGCTGTAGGGCAGAAAGGGCTCCACGGGGGTTATCGTCATCACGACTCTGTCAGCAATGATAAGATCAGCATCTAACCGCGTAAAGCTACGATTATCCTGAAGCAGGCGAGAATTCTGCTCAGTATCCGCCATAGCAGTCATAATCGGAGCGGATGGGTACTCGACATCGACCGCCGGCCCGTCCTCTGCAGCGAAGGCCACGGAAACCATCGCCAGAAGGAAAAGCGAAAATGCAACTAAACGAAGTGGGAGATGATGAAAGACAGAAAGAGAGAGACAAGGGTGACACAGGCGGGAAAACGGACAGAAGCAGAGTGCATTACACACCCTCCTCCATGCATAGCTCTTCGCATCCGAACACTCGAGGAACGACGCCATCACCGGAAAAGTGAGGAAAGCCATCCGCCTCTCTTGAAGGGAGAGAGGTCACACACGCCAGATGACGATACCTACGTCACTATCGAAAGTAGAAGGTGACCATACGGCAGAGCAGTGAGAGATTGACAGAGGGAGAGCGAGAAGCCACAGACAGGAATGTGACTGCGCACCTCCTACCGGTAGTCATCTTGCAGCCCCTCCGTTCGATCCAAAAAAATCAGCGCCTTCACCTTCAAGGAAAGAGTTTGCCCAAGAAAGAGGGAGAGAATCTAAAAACCTTCGAATTTTCGGAACATGTCTCGCGTAGCCATATGGCAACTGTCCAATATTCGTGTCTGTCGATGTTGGCCCCATGTTTTTTTTTGTTTTTTTTTTTGGGGGGGGGCGGCGGCCGGCATGTTTACAAAAACAACAACACACACAAAAAAAAAAAGAAAAAAAAAAAGCAAGGAGCCCAAACCTTTCTGCTAAGACTCCCGTTTGGCGGACACTAGATGGGCCAGTCTCCAATAGTGCAAAAGGAGAGACAATTTTCCCGCACAACACGGACAGATAACAGCCGTCATAATTTCGTCTCGTTCGCAGTTACAGAGTGGTGGGGCGAGAGTGCGATCTGCGTGCCTGCCCGCCTTTCGTGTCCTGTGCTCATCCTGGTGAATAACTGCAATTATGGTCTCTCTCTCTCGCTCTCTCTTCTCTCTCTCTCTCTCTCTCTCTCTCTCTCTCTCTCTCTCTCTCTCTCTCTCTCTCTCTCTCTCTCTCTCTGTGTGTGTG